ACATTAAAGGTAAATTTTTAGCAAAGTTTTTTTTTTGGTGAGTTATATTTTTATGGCAGAAAAATAAAATACAAAAAAAAAAAAAAAACATTTTGTAAATGTTCCCAAGAGAAAACCAGATCTTCAGAACAACTTAAAGGCAGATACAGATATGGCTGCTGTTCTCCATGGATGTTAAGAGAGATTAGCGCCCAACCTTTATCTTCAAAAAAAGATCCAGTAATAAATCATTGTATGGAAAAATAAATGTCATATTTATTAAAAGAACAAAATAGGAGAAAAGATCGTAGACTAAGGATATATCCTGGAGTTTCTCCAAATGCAGAATTTGCTGCAAAACCTTTGGCTACAATTTTTAAACTATAATATCAGTCCTCCTAATATCTGCATTAGAGGTTAGGATATTATGAAGGAAAGTTGTAATATGATCTTATAGTATCAGTCCTAGATATGGACTATAAGATCATATGTAATGAATGAAAAAAAAACACTGAAACCTTGGTAACTATGGTGAATCTTATATCTTTAGCAATCAAATTGTGACACTGCTGATGGAAGACAAGTATTCAAAAGTCTTTATTTTAATATACAAGAGAAATATACAAGTGTTTATTTATATATATATATATATATATTTATATATAAAAATATATGAAAACATCCTAACAGTGCCTCATTGTTCACAACTTCATGGAAAACCTTGTAAAAAAACAATCAACAGACTCCTACTTGTACTCAGAGACTTATTATACTCAAACAAAATTCAGGATTAGTGCTTTAAAATATAAAAACAAAACGCTATAGTTTTCTTTAACCCCATAACAGGAAGTAACTTTTTAAAATTAGATAAGCTGATTTTTTCTTTTTTGGCCCCAAAATTGTGCAATATTCTACATCACATTGTATCTAAAAAGACACCATGATATTTACAACCTGAGAATAAAAACTCAAAAAGTGATGTCTTTCTTTCAGTCGTCGTCCTGACAGCAGATGCCCAGAAGACAGGCCTGGCACAGGTTTTTCTCATGGGGCTTGGTCCACACTTTATTAGAGGTTGTTGAAGATCCATCGTCGCTTTCCTCCTCTTCCCCGTAAATATTTTTCCGGATTTTTGAAATAAGCCTGAGCAAAGCATGTTCCACTTCTTTTCTGGAGAAACCCGGGAGATCAAATTCCTCATCCTGGCAACGACGACATGCCTGACCAAAGGGTCGCATGATCACTGTACCCCTGCCACCTCGCAGCCGGTAGCGGAACAGCACCACTGCTCGAGCTGAAGGCCAGGTTTTACCACAGGATCCACACTGGAATCTATGAGATAAACAAGAAGATGGATGCAGATGTTAGATTTTATTTCAAAGAAGTTTTTCTCTTTCCAATTGAATTATATAAAATTGGCAGCTTGCAGAGTTAGTGTAGTTCAATGATGCAGAGAACATTTGTTCCCCCCAAGTTCCCCCCACTATAAGAAAAGCATATCACATACTTTCCATAGGCACAGTGGGAATACACTTTCCAGCCTTTCCTCCTCTGTTCTTTGGTGACTTCGTCTGTCTGTGTGTAGTTAAAGTTCAGAGTCCATTCATCTCCATAATTCAGCTCATTGTCATCATACAGCAGTTCATCAAATATGTCGCGCCAGAAGCCTGGACTCCAATCTGTATGAATAGACAAAGAAAGAAAGTCTTAATCCTATTATGCACAAAACGCTTTCCAAATTACTCTGCAAGGTTAAAATAGTAAAATTTTTATGCACGACCCTAGGAGTTTGAACTGGTCATTTTCAAGAAACCAATATAAGATTATATTATTTTGATACACTAGAACATTTGTTTTATATTAAAGCCCTCAAATTCTGGTTTGGAAGCCATTTTTGTGCTCTAATCAAAATGTTCTACAATGATATTTGAAGCACTGTGTCTCTTAATAGATTCTCTTAATAAATTTATATTCTCAGGAAACAGTTGCACTACCCAAGTTCAGGATTCATGTTTGTAAGCTGGTGGATGACAGGTGTAATAACAAGACTATCAATGGTGGATTGAAGCAGATTATCTACCATGATTATAAAAGACATTCGTAAGACATTAGATAGATGTGTTGATGGTTAAAGCTCACTGCAATATTTTTAAAAGCCCAATTTCTCAAAAGGTAAAAGAGACAAATTTTTATACCCTGTAATGGTACTCGGTGAAGCCCTGCTTGTAGTTCACCGGTCTGCATTTCAGATGCACAGGGTTTACACCAGGGATGCTCCAGTCCAGTCCTTAAGAGCTACTATCCTATAACTTTTAG